ATGCACGCGAGGCCACATTCACAGCATGCAGCAGACAAGATGAATTAAAGATGCCATCGCTATGGTAGTTGCCAAATTGAATGTGCAGAAATGCTAAGCTCATTACTGGAATAATTAATTCACTGAAAAGCAAATGACTACTGCACTTACTAATTGCCTAATCAAATAAACATTAGCTCGGATACTTATTCTCAATTATGTTTGTGATCGCAAGTTTCTTATTGGATGCAGCCGTGTTGAACTACGAGGAGGACGTTGCAATCTATACAATCAGGGCAGCAACAGATCCAAGAGTAGAAAAGCGTGTCATCATCTACAGACCTCCTAAAAATATTGTCTCGCAGCTGGATCTGATTTCTTCATGGGAGAAAAAGACTGGACGTACAATGAAAATAACCCATCTTCCCGAGGAAGAAGTGGTCAAGCTCACTGAAAGTAAGAATACTATTTTCATCTTTTTTTTCTCACGAAAAAACCCTCTCAAGTGTGACAAAATTTAGTTGAAGTTTTAACGTTTTCTAACAATTCAATCTACTAATTCTTGTATGAGTTTTTGTTCATCATGCATATTAGAGATAGGAAAGAAACGTTATGCCAAATGTGTGTTTTCATAGCTATAGATGGACAGAAAAGTTAGGCATTGATTTGATCCCTTCATCGTTATGACACAATTTCATGCACTAAATGAGTAACATCAGAGACTGTTGGTTTTTCTGCAGCGTTGCCTGTTCCAGACAATATTTCAGTGGCCATTCTTCATAATATATACATCAAAGGTGATCAAACGAGCTTTGAGTTAACAGAGAATGACTTGGAAGCCTCCAAGCTTTATCCTGATCACAACTACACCTCAGTTGATGATCTTCTCAACCGGTGTCTGGTTGACCCTCCCAAACCCAAGTTGGCTGCATTTGTTTAAACTGCTTTTTCTAATCCCATTTGTCCAATTTGGTGTTTCCTTTAGCTTTGTTTTCTTCCTCTCTCTCTCTCTCTCTTTTATCCTCTTTTAATCGTTTTCTCATGATTATCTGGTGCTACTTGTATTTCTAAGTCTATTATCTATGACTTGCACGAAAGGTACTAATATGTTATCCCGACTTCTGGCCCTTGTATTAAAAACTTCTTCTCTACTTCATTTTCAGCAATTCACAGCTTCTACTATTTCTTTGAACTTTATTCTCAATACAAGAATGCTACTTCCATCAGTTGGAATTTTTAACGGAAACAAAAATCAAGGTTGAGGGCATCAAAATCTTGAGAAGCATCAAACACAATGAGTAGTCCACACATTACTCGCTCAAATATCAACGTTTGATCCAACTGCATATCAGAAAAAAGATCACAGACCAAGAAAATGAAATCATCAAGACCAAAAATCTCAAGATTCAGAGCAGAAACTCGGGCATTTCGGCGAACACAAGACAGCTGAGAGCATCACGGTTAAAGAAAATATGCACACTTTAAAACAGGGAGAATTGCAGAAAAGTGCTCAACCTTTTAAAACCTGATTCTGCATTATTATTCCTGTTTAGAACCAGTTCAACCCTCAGTTGGCCGGAGTTTAGATATTTATGTGCCTATGCTCAATTATGAAGTCGACAGAATCAAGCTCTTAAGTCAAACCATTATAAAATTTTGAAAGCATTAATATGGGATGCTCGACAAGTACAGTTAAGAATATACTATACATTTGTTTGCACATATACTCAAAGTCAATAAGAATATATATACACTTAATTTGCTTATTTATTCAAAATAAAAAAAAAATAGAAATTATCCTTAATGCAATTTCTGCGAAAGAGTCGGTATCTCAGCCCACTCAATTCTCAAAACTTTACCCAAAGCCAAAAAGCCTTTGTAAGACCCTTTACTAAACAACTTAAGCCCACTAATCAACACCAATGCCCGATCTTCTCCAACCCAAAGTCCCACCCACTTTTCTATTCTTTTGACCTTTTTGGGGAGACAAGTTTGGCCTAAAGATTATAAGGAAATTCATTTATTTATTCTTGGTGCATTTTTCTTACATTGATTTTATCCAAGTGATTTTATTTATCAAAATTTTGGGATATTCATAGTATAGCATCTAAAGCTCCACCTCAATCTAACTACAGATCAACGAGAATTTCATTCAAAAATTTACTTATCTAAACAGCAGCCAACTTCAAGAAATTCAATCAAGAAGAAAACACTGACAAAAAGATTTACGTTTCATATCCTGATTAATCCTTTCAAATTTTACAGCACAAAACTCTCCAGTTCCCTTTTGATATCATGATTGATCCTTTCAACTTTTACAGTAGAAGCTCTTCATTTTCACAAATATTGAATAAAAAAAAAAAAAAAATCAATCAAAAGTAATAAGGGAAAGCGAGGAAGTCTATGCCAATCTTTCAACACCCATCCTGCTGAATATACAATCGACAAGAAGAAACAGAAAAACAGAGAGCTCAGAATTCACTACGATCGGGGGAAGGACAATTTCCCTCAACTTTCTTCTTCTCAAATTTCATGAAAGATGTCTCTGCAGTATCCTCATCTGCACCGTCCAATACTGGTATCATCTCCCTCACACCGTGAATTGCAATCCCTTCATTCTCGTATAATCCTGGAGCAGTAATCTCAACCCCATTAATCATCACTTTATCACCAGATTTCTGGATTTTCATGCTAAGCTCCTCAACATAGTTTCTGAAAACAGTCTCATTTGCAATCCCATTGAGCTCATTCCAATTAAGCTTACAGGGTAACAAATGCCTCAAGAAAATGGATGAATACAGAAGAAAATTCCCGGAATCCCCAATCAAAGCCTCATCCACAGGGGCAAAAATAGTCAGTTTTGTCTCATTCTCAGAAGGGATTTTATCGGAATCCACAAAGCCCATCAATTGCAAGTCCAGAAAAGTGGCAAAAATTGAATAACCCCTTGATTTTAGTACCCCTGATGCCTCCTTATACCGTGAAAAGGTACTGAATTTCACGCATTCTGGGTTGGAGTTTATGACTGACTGAGGAGCGGGAAGAGCGAAATTAGGCTCAAAGAAATTTTCCACTGCAAAAACCACAACAGAGCCATCATCATAGACGGGTGAGCCGGAAATTTCAACATTGTTGATGGAAATTTTGGTGGGGTTTTCGAATGAGGTGGTGATAAAGACGGAAGCATGGGTTTTTGACAGGGTTGGGATGGGGGAAGAAAATGGCAGAGAACTGAGTGATTCGAGGGAAAGAGAAAGTGGCGAGAAGTGGAGGAGGAGCAGGGAGAGTGAAGGCTGGCCTGCAGCAGCAAAGGCGGAATCAGGCGGAGTAAATATGGTCAGCGAAGATGGAAAGCTGATGAAACGGGGTTGATCAAGGAGGAGATTTAAAGTGAGGGACATGGCATTGTAGCCTGAATTCGATAGGGTCTCTGCTGCATTCAAAAGAGACTGTGGCGGCGACGGTGGTGGAGGCTGTGGTTGTGGGGAAGTTGATGGCGGCGGGGATTGGAGTTGGGCGAGGGAGAGGAGGGAAAAGAGAGTGAGGAGAGAGAGGAAAACACTGAGGGAAGCCATGCTTTCTCGACTGTGTGAGTGTGTGTTCTGCGTGTAGGGAGGGACGACAAATGCAACTGTTTACGGTTTGGTGATGGTTTTATTCAGGCTCGTTGGGCGGCGGAGGGGATTTGGAGGGAAAATATTGTGGGGACACGTGTTCAAAGGCTATTGAGTCTGTTACTGGTTAGTTACCTTTTTTTTTTTGACAAATTATTTTTCTTCACATTGAATAGTTACCCATGCATTTTCACCACTTTTTTTTTGGGCAAATATAGGATTTGTCCATGTAATAGTTTCATTTTTTTTCTTTCTTGAAATGAGCTTTAGAATTAGTTATCTTGGATATATTTTTGAGAAAATGACATCAATTTTTTCTCACATTTTATCTATGTTAAAATTTAGTTTCTCACATACAAAATAAAGCATATTATCCTCTCACAAATCCAATATATATATATATATATATATATATCTTTGAGCACATATTCGCTGTAAAAATCGTGTGTATCGGATTTTAGGAATTTAAAGGGCAAAATTAGAACTTAATCAGATTCTCTCTCTCTCTCTCTCTCTCTCTCTCTACTAGTCTATGACTTCTTTAAGCCATTTTTACCATTATTTTTTCCTCATAAAAATTTAAAAATCCTCATGATATTGAAGAAAACCTCTACAGTCCAAATATTTGTCAAACAAACCAAAACCTTGATAAGAAGAAATATGAATATGATAATTGGTATAGTAGTTGAATATTTAGAGTCCAAATAGTTTCTAAAATAAATATGAATTTGTAATGCTTAGTGAACCTATACAAGTAAATAGTTATTAAATAAATAATAATCTATAGTTCCTTCTTCTTTCTTTTATATTTACCATCACACGAATTTAGTAATCATGAGTAACAAATAAATAGTTTTTCCATTTTTGATCCTTAAGTACTTTTCACTGCTATGCACCGCCTTAGTGTTTTTGTTACTCCACTGATATGCTGATCATTCTCTTCTTATCAGTTATTACTCCTACACTTATCAACTCATTCCGTAAACTGCATGGTTTTGTATAGAGTTACTATAAATCCATGCAAAGAAACTTACTACTACTAGTTCTTAAGTCCCAAACAAACATCTTTACTAAGCTGAACTACCAAACAGCGTTGTAGTTAAGCACTCTAATCCTTCGCGAATGCTTCCACTTTCCAAATCTCTAATAGGTTTCCCAGATCTGTAGCATAACCACCACTATTTATAGTCATGTAGATTAATGCCCTAACCTTACATATTTTCTTCCGCCATTCAAAACTTCAGGTATTTATCTAAGTGCTCTCGTTCTTTCTTTCTTTTTTCCCCTTTTTCCAAGTTCTTCAGCTAGGATTACTAGTGCTAGATTCAATATATTTGAATAAGATATCGATTGGTAAACTTTAGATATTTATTGGATTTGCAGCAAGATATTGGTAGTGGTTGATATATGGTTCGAGATTGTCCATTAGGGTTTCGTTTTAGGCCAACAGAGGAAGAATTAATAACCCTCCTCTGGTTCAAGGCTACAAACCAGCAGCAGCATATCACGGATGCTGTCCCCAAGAAGAAACTTTACGGTGTTGATGCCTTGCCCTGGAATATTTTTGCCGAAGATGATGTTCGCTGGGAATTGTCTGATGACAGTGGAAAGAAGCGTACGAAAAGGGTGACATATGCGGTTACTAAGCTATCCAAGATAAGTCCTAACAAGGTTGCAAGAACTGCTGGAAGCGGGATGTGGGAGGGCCAATCTAAGGGCAAAGATGTTCTTAACTCTAGAGGAGAGACCATCGGTTCGATTAAGATGTTGAGCTATGTCCTGAATTCTGGTTCTCCTTGAGAAGGCGGATGGATCATGCATGAATATTCACTCACTGACTCTCTGTTGGATCATATAGGCGGCATCGGTTATGTTGTTTGCAGGATCACAAAAGATGATGAAAAATACACGAGCAATTTACCCAAGTGATTTCAAAGAAAGGGAGGAAGCAGCTTTCAAAAAAAATAAAACAATACAAACACGTCAAGATGTTAAACCAAATTCCCATGCTCGCTCACAATCCCACAAATGTGGGGCAACCTCACGTGGATGATTTCATTCGATTTATCTGTTATGTATTTGAATCGTAGATTTTTCCATATGTTTGATCCATAGTTGTCTTTTTTTTTTTTTATTCAACAGAGGTCAGGTTTGACCTTCCTCTAACTCGATGTACTCTTTTTCGATATAAATAAATTCAGTTGCATCTAAAAAAAAAAAAAACCTGGAGGTAAAATTAGATGCTTTGCATTTACAAAGAACAGAAAAGGTTGTAAGTTTACTTATCCTAAGGATACTGTCCGATCCGTTCGTGGTTAGCTGTACTTTTATGATGCCATTCTTTTTCTTAAGTAATTTGTATTGACTGGTTAATTACCAATGCATTTTCATGTTATTTTTTCTTCCTTTCTTTTTTGGTAAGTATAGGATACTTTCGATTTTTTTCTTGAAAATTTTAAAATAAGTTGTCTTGGGTATATTCTTCTGTTTTGTTAGTATTATTCTTTTTAGAAGTCCGTTATTGGGTTTAGTGATGGGTTAATGGCCATAAATTCTGGTTTCAAGAGAGAATATGATTTCAGCCAAAAAGAAAAGGTGGTAACAAACTAAGAATATTGGGTATCCTCAAGTGTTGTGCCAAAAGCTAATGCTGTGCCACGTTAAGTTACAATAATTTCTTTTTATCCCCACTCCACTAAATATATTGTAGTGTGTCAATAACGAAAAATTGTTAACTTACAAGTTGATTTATATTCCTGATTTGTGTGCCAATAAAATTGTTTCAGTTAGTAAGGAGGACTGCTTCTTCTTTATAGAAGATGGTGTATTCGAATTCTGTTGTCGTGGATATGAGAATTATGTAATCTATTAGAACTTCTGTTTCAATTTTGTTGATTGTCGGATGCAAAAATTGTGTTATGGAAATTATATTGATGCATGATTTATAAAAACCTGATAAAAGACCAATAATTTGTAGTGGTAATTTTCTCTTGCCAAAAAATTAAAATTACAAAATTTTACGCTCACAGCTTATAGTAACAAATCAGCAGGTTTTGCAAACTCCAAACTGATGAGCGCCCAAAAACAAGCGGAAGCTGACCCCTTCAGTGATCTCCTTTTGAATCATTTCTAACCTTCACAAATTGTCTGCACCAGTGACAAAATGTCTACACCGGTGTAGTCACGTGCTGCAAGATTTCAACTTGAGCAAAAAGAAATAGCTAACTCTTCTCTCCCATGGCCTTCCTATTTCAGAAGTTTCAGGAGGTATACTTTCTGTGGCTCTCTCGCTCGACGGTCTAATACAGAAAACACTAGATTCCTGTTATGGCTCATCCATGATTTCTACATTTAGTGTTAGTATTCAACCTCGTAGGTCAATGGCCATCACCTGTTTGACGGAATGCCCGTATGAAACTGGTATTCATGAGGTTGTTAGTTAATTTCAGAATACAAAAGTAGATTCGGATGCTGCTTTTGGGATTTCTTCAGACTGTTAATGAAAAACAAAAAGGGTTTTCCTTGTCAAGCTTCTATTAATGTCTAACACTGGTAAATGAGCATCATTATGACTTGAACTTCGGCCCTTTGATAGTTTCCACATTGTCACTTTAACTTGCTGACTAGATTCTTTACTTTCTTCAGAATGAATTCACTGATGAATTTCATAGCTTTTGTTAAATTTAGTGTCCTTTCTTTTCTTCTTCTCTTAGGCACTGAAGTAACTAATTGTATTATGCAATTTCCATATTGTTGGAATGCTAATTCTGCTTCTAGGCTGTGAAAGTTCTCGCTAGAAGTCCCACATTTGCTAGGGAGCCAAGGCACCTTCAATTTGAAGCGGATATAAACCGCCTCTTCCTTTACACGAGGTGAGGAACTTTTTGAGCATTGCTGAGTTAAAATTTCATATTTTTTTGAATAAAAGCAAATGTGCAGATCATTTGCAATACATGATGAACGTTTCGTGCTTTTGTCAAGTTATTTTTGTCATGTGAAATATCACAATGATGTTCGGCCAACTTGATGTGGTTGCTATGGCACCGTCAATTTTTGTTGACAATATCCTTGCTCCGCACATATTCCTCCTATGGGTTTCATTACTTCGTGAATTCTGTTGATTCTTTCTGCTCCTTGCTTTTGATTGTCCATGACCATAGATAGTCATAGTCATGGGATGCATCCAATCTTTAATCATCAATGGACTTGGATATTTTTACCCTGCTTTTGTTGTGGTACCACTATGTGGTATAAAAGTGTCAATTCTGTTTGAGATGTCATCTTCATTGATATTCCTTTGTTTCAGTTGGATTTGACTCAGTTTATGAGATTTAGATCTCTAGTTTTATTGCTTTTGTCTCCTGGGTTGATGCTGTATGGAACCCATGGAAAGAACAAGCAAAGTGAAAAATCAGATGAAGTATATTATTCAAAGAATGGGCCGATATAATAAGGTAAAGTTTCAAGGATATGACTTTGTTGTTAGGTGTTATCACGCAAGGTTTGTAAAGTTTGTTCTAATTAACTAGAGTAAAGGCTGTAGATAACTTGAGTTATGCCTTCTAAGCTAGACTGAGTGAATATTGTGTGATGAGAACACGACATTGCAGCATGCATTTTACACCAAAAACTATATAATGATTATATAGTGACAATTGAAAAGTCTGGAGCACTCCACAAGGTTGTAGTGAAACAGCTCTGTTTAGTTTTTAGTTGTACAGTTTTATATGTTTGGGTATTTCAAGATTGAGTATGCTGTAAATGAGAAATTGATGTTGAACAGGGTTGTCTGTTTTCACTTCTGTATTTTTTATGATAGTAGGGAAGTTGCTAAATCTTTTAGTTACTATGTTACTTAGCAGAAATAAGTGGACCTTTGAATTGCAAACTGCGTTAACATCAAAATGGTTGAAAGTTGCATTCAAAGATGAAAGTTTCTATCAGAGGAAACAACTTATCTTTGTTGCAAGAGAGAGAACAGTATCTTGTACCTTGCCTTTTATTTTCATATTGTGGATTTGAAACAATTAATTCACTTTCTCTGGTTGTTACTGTAATTCAGTTTTGAACTTCTTAAAAAATCTTCTATTTTCAGCTACAAGCTTTTGGGAAAGGATGCTGATGAAGCAGATGCCGAGGAGATCATTGACATGGCTAGTAAAGCATCACTTACCGATCAGCAAAAGCAGGTCCAAGAAAATATCCATTCTCAAATAGAAACCTTCTGCACAACTATGGATGATATTGTCCTTCCAAATTTGCAAAGTACAGAGAAGGCACATGAACCGATTGAGGAAAAGAATATTACTTCTCGACGAAGTGGCCTTAGTCTTGCTGTTGGTCGGAGTAGTCCACTGAACGAACATCTTGGTAAGGAGCAAGGGCCCATGAGGCTCAAGTACTTGAGAAATGTTTAGATTTTGTCATATCAACTTCATGTTACTGATAAAATGTATGACATGTCACATGGATAAAACTTGAAATGATACCCCACTTTTACTCTGTCCAGCTCTGGAGTTTTTCATAATCAAGTAAGTCTTAAAAGTTTCAGGAAAGACTTCAGAAACTTATTGGAGTTTAAACTTACCTGACCAATTGACGAGATATGAACTGATTTTACAACTACAATGCAAAGCGTGAAAGTACTAATAGTCTGTTTGACATGTTATGTGTAACATGACAAATGCTGACTAACGGGCTCTTGCCCTTTAACTAATTAACAGGTCACAAGTCCTAAATATGTCAGATGACCATTCTGGCTCCATTTGTATAGAACTCTCTCTTTGATTTTTTTCCCCTTTTTGGTTTGGTTTTTGTCCAAAATATGTGGTTTAGATTGAAATGATAACTTTGTTTTGAAGTCTTTTAATCTGCTGCATTAGAAGCTGATTAAGGTTAATTTATTCTTTTCACCAATTCAAGATAGTGTATGTTCTGAAATCTGATTTCCGATAATTTTTCTAACAGTTGGTTCAGAAACAAAGCCATTAAGCCAATTGGAGGTGTCACAAAGGTTGAAGGACCTCAGGGGTTACACCCTTGAGATCAAGCCATCTGAAATTCCACACAAGGATGCTGGAAAAGGCTTATTCTTAAATGGTGAAGCTGATGTAGGCACTGTTATAGCATTTTATCCTGGTGTAGTGTACTCGCCAGCATATTACCAGTATATTCCTGGCTATCCAAGAGTTGATGCACAAAATTCTTACTTGATCACTAGGTATGATGGCACTATAATTAATGCTCAGCCATGGGGTGCTGGGGGTGAATCTCGTGAAGTGTGGAATGGCTCTTGTGTTTCTGAATCTAGGCCTAAAGTTGAAGTTACTGGAAAGGGTTCAGATAGAATGTGGCAGTTGCTTAGTAAACCTATGGATGGTTCCAAGATAGGCATGAAGGGTGAAATCTTGGAAAGGAGGAATCCTCTGGCCTTTGCTCATTATGCCAATCACCCAGCTAAGGATATGGTTCCCAATGTAATGGTCAGCCCCTATGACTTTCCACTTACTGAGAAGAACCTGAGAGTGTATATACCTAATATCTCATTTGGAAATGGAGAGGAAGTGAACATGAAAAGGTTTGGCAGTTTTTGGTTCAAATCTTGGAAATCGGGTAGCCATGTATCTGATGTACCTATTTTGAAGACTCTTGTACTTGTGGCCACTAGACCGCTCTGTGATGAAGAGTTGCTCTTGAACTACAGGCTGAGCAACTCAAAACAACGGCCATCATGGTATACTCCTGTGGATGAGGAAGAGGATCGAAGAAGGTGGAGCTAACGTTTGGACCAATTTTGCTGC